GTTTTGGCGGACTGGCGTCGGCCATGATGAGCATTGCCACCAATGGAACGACTCCTGCAACAAAATGTTCACCTGTACCGTAGTATCGTTTTAGAAGCGGGAAGCTCAAAAAACCGCAAATTTCTTACGCAGATTGTGAAATTATGAGTGCATTTCAGACTTTGCCGATGCGCTCATCGTGATTTTTGAGGCATTATCTGTAAGAAACAACTCTTAGTTTTGCTCTAGCAAAAGTTTGCAACAGACCCATTATCTCTAAAAGAATGAACAGTTAGAACTCCTTAGGAAAGCTTTGTGAGGTATCACATCTCAAATTTAATTCTGCTGGTCAAGTACACTTAGGCACTGAGTAATGTTAATTTTTTTTTTCTTCTTTTTTTTTCTTCTTTTTTTTTCAATTTTGGTCCAGATTTTATGATATCAAATATGAGTAACTCAAAACTGGACTTTTTTGAAAAATCATGGAAGGTCAATCGCTCCTCAGGTAGGATCTTCAAAGGAATTAAAAGTTATATTGCAGAACCCAACAAATCTTTCAGTTTGGGAATGAATTTTGGGAGAGTTAATAGGGAAGTTCTTCTTCTTTTTTCCTAATTTTTAATTTTGTAAACATGAAATCTGAGTCATAATCTTTTGTTTCAGAATGTCATCAAAGCCTGTGTATCCAGAGTGGCAGAAAAATATGAAGGCCAGTTTGAATACCAGAAATTATTAAATGGCTATAAAAAATTTGATCCTTCCAGGGGAATGGACTACCTGTTGGATCTTATCTTCAGAGTTAATACCGATGGAAAATATATACATAAACGGTAATCATTGATCAACATCATTTTAATTGCAAATTTTAACTATCTTGACTCGGAAATGTAGAAATCATATTTTTGGTTTCCAAAAGATACCCAGCTGTAGTTTTTGTTTATTTATTCCTAAAAAAGTATTTCCTCTCTAATTTTTTTTTTCTTTTAGTTTTGCTGTGTGTAAACCTCTGGGGAAAGTTGAGTTCCTACCGGTTCCTTATGTAACAGAGAACACCAAAATCAATATATTGCTTCCAGTTAAACCAGCCGATAAAGCGCACGCCTTGAAGTTCCTGCAACAATATCGGCAAATGTGCATGATGAAAAGGGATAAAACATTCCTCATGATGGTAAGAAACTTCAACATATTCTCTTTGCTACAATTCTTCATCGCCTGTTATAATAATTTCAGTTTAAAAAGATTACTCATAGTGCAGTCTAAGTACTCTACATGATAAAGTATGAGAAAAAAGCACTGAAAAAATTGATATGACAAGGCTTAAAATCGTTGAAAATACAACCAGGACGTCTTCGGCGAATTACATACTCATTTTCAACTGGAAACAAAGTTAATAATTGAAACAAGAACATGAGCATGCACCAGACCTAGGTAGGAATCAGTGCATACTCTCTACGTGTGTTCTATACGTTTCTACATTTGGTTTTGCATTTTTTGTAAGTATAATGTTGATACATTTTGTATAATGCTTTGGGCTGGACTCTTCAAGTTTTTCTTTAACATCACACCGACACAATCATTGCAATTTGTATTAATTCCGTGCCAAAGTTATTTGATCACATCTTATTCTCAGTCATTTAGATCTAAACTTTTAACCGACCATTACCTGGTTCCACAAATGGTATTCCAGTAATGTATAAAGATATATGTAGATAAATATTCTTGATATTTGCTAAATTTTTTGCAGGTCCTTCTGTATGATTCCACCGTTCCTGGCAAAGGTACTAAGTCAGACGTTTTCAAAAGTCTCAAAGATACTGCTGTTAATTACAGCAAGCAGTTCAGTAAGGATGGTAGTAAAATAGTTTGGGTTTCTATCAAGATTCCAAACAAGGATCCGTCGTATCTACCTCATCATGAAGCCCTACTTGACTTTGCTATTGCCGATTTGGCTCTGAAAAAATTCAGGTCGGACTCTCTCATTCTCCTGGCCCATCTGAACCTGGAAATAAAGCCAGACTTTTTAAATAGGGTAATTATTTTTAACATCATTTTTTTTCTGTAACAGAGTTGTATTAAATCTCCCATAGGGTGCACAGAATATTTTAAAGTGTTCACATAAAAAAAAGCCAAGTGTTCTGCCATAAATTCTTGTAATCTGAGCAAAAAAATAAAAACTGATTTTTATTATTTTTAAGAAGAACAGATATTCTAATTGAAGAGAGAAAAATCTAATAGGGTAAAGGAGGCCAAAAAAAAGCCTCCAGTCATTCAAGAATATCTTTGTTCCGATGTCTTTGCACGGCCAATCCACAACTGTCAGTCACTGCGTGTCGTTTTGAAATCCACTCCCCTGCTTGGGTTTCATTAGACCACAGCCAATATGACATGACATTGACCTCCGTCATCAAAAGTGCTCTGTACTTTAACTTCCCGCTGCCAATGCGCAGTATGCACCCAAAACTCATCCTCAGAAACGACTGACCTGTATGGATTGAACTTCTTAATTCCTCAAAATTCAACTAACGCCGTAGGGAAGATCTGTGTCATTTGAAAATGATCAAACTGTCGTTTTTACCTCTCATCCAGGTTCGCATGAACACAATTCAAAATTGGCAGGTGTTCAGTCCAGTTCCTTTTCGAGAATATCATCCTGCTATTGTGTACGAGGGTGAGCCTCCTGCTGAAGTGGAATTGAACAAACAAAGTGGTCACTACGATTCTACCAACACTCAACATATATCTTTCTATGCTAGTGATTATCTCTCAGGTAATTCTGTTCATAATAGTTTTGTAGTACATCGCGCCTTCCTCTCTCTTCTTTGCATGGAATCATAGAATTGGGCTCTTGCATGGGCCAAGAATTTGCTTTTTAAGCATTTTTCCTCAAGTCAAATTGCAGTCGTAAATTAGTAGTTACAATGAAGTATATTTTAAAATCAAATCCCGAGCTGCATTCAAATCTAAGGAGTTCTTGAAAATTGTTTTATTTTGACTGCATCGACCCTAAGTGTTTATTTGTGGCTGAAATCAGGTTCCCTTTTTTTCTTATCATACAACTAGAGAAATTTTTTGATTTCTCGTGTGAAGCTACCTATTCTGCATCCTTGAATGCCAAATCAATTCAATACCCATGATTTGGTCGTTGATCAAACGCTGTGAATTTTTCTTGTTTAAATATTGACAGTGAAATCACCAGACCACATATCTCGGCTTGTGATGTTGCAGACTTTTTGCCATACTTTATTTTTTAAATGGAAAACCACTCAACGTCAATTCTTGAAAACATCCATGATTTTTCTTCTTTGTGCTAAGAAAACTCAGTGAAAATTTCAGTAGATGATATTGATTTGTTATTCTTCAAAAAAATAGAGCGGAGATTTTTGAACACCACAATCGAAATCACTGGTCTGGTAGTTTCACCTTCGATACTTGGAGGTAGCAAAAGGGTGCGACCGTTCTTCGTTGAAATTTTGAGACACATTAGTTAAAATTGGGTACAAAAGTCTCAGAAAAAAGCAACAAAAAACATCCACTAGTATTTCAGGTAAATTTTATTTTACAAGACGAAATCTGAAAGCATTCAAAGGCTTTTAAAATGTTCCTCCTTAGCTGGGCACTCCTGCTTCCTTTATTAGGATCCTTTATTATCGCTGGAGCTGGTACTCTGGACATCGTTTGAAAGTTCAGTGTGTAGCATTCGGTTTGAATACCATGCATGCGGTTAGAAAGAAAGGACTTTTTAAAAATGAATTTTTTAGAAGTGAAGTAATGATAACGATGAGGATGAAAATTTTCTCTTATCCGCTAGGCACTAGACTGATGAAAATTTTTAACAAGTTTCAACCTCTGCACTGTTCACGTCTAGGGTGAAGGTATCTCTAAATATAGTGTATTTCCTTCAGAAAATACCCTAGGATGGACTCTTTTGTACGGAAATAATCACATTTAGTTTAAATTGTGGTGAGAAAAGACCTTTGGAGTTCCTGCTTTAGTACATTACCTGAAATTTTAATATGTGTCGTATCTTATTTCTCTTTAATTTATTCAGAAATGGCGCCTGCAACTCTAGAATTTCAAGTTATTTTTTTCTTTCAATTTCAGCGCGGCAAAGCATTGCAAAAACTATTCCTCTTGTTCGCTCCGATAAGAATATTTTGGATCTATACCAGACAAGCAATCAAGAATATAACAAAAAAATGGAAAGTCTTATCGCGGATACCATTTACTCAATGTTCGTTTCTGCATCAAATCTCCACGTCTTGCGTGCAGTTGAGCCAGGACTACGAATCCGGTATGAACCCATTGATTGCCCCTCTTCAGATGTTACTCATGATTCAAATCTAAAAAGTCTCATAAAAAAATGCAACCATTCAAGAAGTTTTAGTTTTGGAATGAGAAGTCAACTTTCGAAACTGATTCTAAGCTTCAAGAATAAAACGTAAGAAAAAAGTTTTCTGCCAACGAGAGGCTCATTCTGTACTTCAAGACAAATGTCAGTATTTTCAATGTGTGCATTCAAACTAATGATATCACACAACCACCGAACTATTTTGTTAGTTTATAGACTGACTTCGTTACTACCCATCTTGCCTTGAGACTGCTTAGATCCTTAGATTCTTTTACAGAGAACATTCTCAAAATGGATCTCTAAAGACAGTCGATATTTCGTTTTCTCATCCCTTCTGTTCAGTACATAATCTTATTTTTCTGTGATCTTTAAATATTTTTAATTTGCTTTCTATGCCACTTTTTATAAAACTGCCTTTGGACACAAATTTTCCGTCATGCAGTGTGGTCAGTTAGAATGTAAGTTGACTTAATCCTTTGTTTCAAGAAGTGCCAAACTTGGTAAAAATGACAATTCCGCTCTCCTGAAAAAGTTTCTTCTCATCACGAATCGAATAACATGGGCTTAAAACTCTTTCCTTTCACTGAAAAGTTTCACAATCAGTTGAATGTGTAGTTGATACTGCATTGGGATTTTTTTTCCTGTGTTTGATACTGCTTGAAACAAGCAATTCATTAATGTACCGATTTGAAAATTTTCAATTCTCCCATGGTTGTTTTATAACTTTTACCCATGACTTTTTTTAGATCTCTTTATTTACACATTAGCCTGATTTTGTCAGGAATTTTAAGCGGGTGTTGAATGCCTTTATAATTGGTGCTATTTTTGACAGTTTTAATAAATTTGTATTTTTCTACTTTTTAATTCATGGCGGTTTTTTTTTCCCCGAAGAGAAGTTTATCCCTTCCACCAATAGCTTGTGTATCAAGAGAATGTATCATCAAGAACAGCCATTTTTCATCTAATCGTCAACAATTTTCCAACTAAGGGCGCCATGTCTGAAACACATTACAACTAAATATTCAGGAGATATTTTTTTGATAATGGTCCCTCCTTCATAAGATGTGCATATCAAGACTCACATTTTTCTGAAAATGAATTGCTCTAAATCAAACTAAAATAAATGTCTCAGCTCAGGAAGACAAAATTTGGCATAATACTTAATCTTTCCGCAGAGAGAGAGATAAATGAAGTCAAAGGGGGTGAAATAAGGAATGCTTAGTCTTGAGTGATTACTTCATGTGTATTTAGTTATTTGATTTTCCAAAAATAAGTCAAATAAGACATTGTATACGACACTTCCAAAACGTATACTAGCTTGTCAACACCTAAGAAAATTGAAGAAATCATAAAATACACTAGAGTATACTTATAACATATTTCTTTAACAATGACTCTTAACCTGAATAAAGCAGTAAACTGCAAAGATAAAGTAAAAAAAAATAGCATATATAATTCTGCAAATACAATTCTGCAAATACAAGAGTTCTACAAGACAATGTAACTGAAGAATAAGGTCACTTGAAGAAGGCCTTACAGAGTGGCTCCAAAAAAAAAAGGCAAAATCACAAGGATCCAACAAAAAATTCAGAAAATTATAAAAAATATAAAACAATTACAAAGATTAAAACAAAAATTATAAAAGTTTGATAAATCGATCATTTTTTGATTGGTTTCATCTCCTTTCCGCTACTTAAATCCTAATAAAAGAATTAAAATTCGTGCATGAGTATAAAAACTTTTTATAATATAATCACAGCTTATAAGAGGACGTTTGTGACAAGGCAGAGTGAATAATTTATAATTATACATAAAACTTCAAAATTTATTGTCAAACAATTATTGACAGGATTGACAGGGAAAAAAGAGGGGAGCAATATTATCACCAGGATTGAACAATATTGATAAGATTACCAATTTGTGAATTTCACGTCCATCACCTAAGATGAATATGAGCAAGACTTAAAATAATTAATTAAAAATGCATTTTGAGAATCATCTCTTCACTGTAATACTGAGAAATATCATTTCCCTTTTTTCTGGTAAGAGAAACAGATTGTTGATTTCTAAGAAAGTTTGAACCTTTCTTTCTAACTCTTTTTATTGATTTCTAGTTATTTCTGTGGCTATGCCAGAATCATCTTCATCATTCAATACCTCCTTTAATACTGTAGATATAATGTTCTATGAAGGCTGATTTGCCTCATTCAGCACCACCTTTTGGGATTTTGTCAACCTGGAATCCCTCCAGTGCTGTGCTCCGAAGAAAATTCTTCGGAGATTGAAGATTTTACTGTTGAGTGCAGCCTTCCTTGTTCTTATTTTTCTTTGATTTCTTTTCGAGAGAGGCGGTTCTTCGTTGTCCTTGAACAATGGGCAAGTACGCACCAGCTTGACTAATATTCGCTTCATCGTCGTAATCTTCTTCTTCAACATCTGCGCTTATGACTTCTGGAAATTGAAAATGATGACAAAAAAATAAATTTTAACTGAAATGAAAGTCAAAGGAATATAAAATGTAGATACAGTTTTCAAAAGCAGTGCTGACATTGGTAGATTTTTCTTTCTTTGGTAGTCCTCTTTGTTCTCCGCAGGGTTAGTCAATTAGCAAAAACTGTCATTTCCTGTCAAACGACCAAAATTTTCTGTACCTTCTGCCAATTTAGAGATGTTGGTCGAAAAGGAAAAGGGATGATAAATTAAAAATTCAAGAGAAAAATGAGTCCTGAAAATTAGGATTTCTGGCCACTCTAAAATTGGAAGGGGAAAGCAGGTCCTTAAACAGGAAGTTTTAAAATCAACTCCTAAATGAGATGTAAGAGTTTGAAAAAAGCTTATCTCAGTTTGCGACGTTATAAACTTCCTCAAGTTCATATTCCTATCATAGGTACTATAAGTTTAAAGGGAAAACTACTCAACATGTTTTTAAAAATTTTTAAACTTCCACGAATTCCTTCTGTGTCGTAAAAAACACTGTGAAGACTTTAAGGTTTTCTATTGATTTGCTCTACTTCAAAAATTAAATGGAAGCAGAGATTTTTAAACACTGCAAAAGAGATACATGGTCTGGTAGTTCCACCGTCGATATACGTTTGCCGTTTCACAAGTGAATTTCGAATTTGATCCTGCATTCAGCTTTGTCTAAGTGAAATTTAGAAGAGGAAACATGCAACTTAGAATGTCAAACAATACCTACTTCACATTATAATTTTGCACTCAAGTTTGAAGTAGGGAATAGATATTTACCTGGCAGTGGCGGATGCTGAAAATTCGATTTTTGATTTGGTTTTTGCGGAGAATAAGTGGGGTCGATTGCCATTGCAATGTTTTGCATGGGCTGGAAACTGGTGACAGGCTCCGAAGACATGACTTCAATTGCATCTAAATCTGTGACCTGGTTCCTACAGGGAAAAAAATAGAGAAAATTGTAATTAGCTCCAACTGATAGATAAGAAGATGGTAGCAACTATGATTTAATTAATAATTTTTAAAACTATTACAATTAAAATTCATGCATTCTGATGAATATTATCAATGATGGAGGACCTTCTTCCTTCTACCTCAGTTTGCAAGAGTTGGAAAAGAGACAATTTCTACATTTCATCCTAGTGGTTGTTCATAGAATAAGTAATGCTCTAGAAGGGTCAACGAGAGCATTATGCCATTTGGTTTTAACGTTTTGAGAAATAGTGACCTAAGCCACAAGAGCGAGGAATAAGGAGGGGTTGAAAAATGTAAAATTGAACATTATATATTTTATGATTGCTCCCTATCAGGGTAATGATAATACGAACCGATGGAGATTAAGTTACTCTACCGCAGTGCTAAGGAAAAATGCAGCATAAATCTACGGACGTTGCCATAATTCCTTCAACAATAATGAATTGACAGGGAAAATGTTGAATAATATTCTTCTAATTATGATTTTTTTAGAAAATTTTGTTTGTAATTTAACCTGGAAAGTCTGTTAATTTCCAGGAAAAATAAGCATGATTTTCCTCAAGAATACATGTTTTCTACGTGAAAATATGACGACCCTCAAATGATTATACGGCGTTTTTTCTTAGCACAGCACTCTAGATGTGATGATTTCCAACTTCACAAATTACAATAGGAAAAATAAACATTAAACAAACTCGGAGTAGTAAAAATAAACCCTGAAATTATTAGTTCCAGCGGAAATAGAACAACCCTGAATCATAAAAGCGATGCAAGAAAATTTCAAATAGAAACTAAAGAAACTTACTTTGGCAATGATCGTGACTTTCCACATGAATTTCTACTAGACTCTTCAAGTGGGTGTGATGAGGATATCTTCATCTTTGATAATTTTTCTGCACCAGCCTCAACACTTAAGTTTGAGGCACTGTCGGAGACCCTGATTTCTCCATTTTCCATTTCCTGCTGCTGCTTCTTCAAAAGAGCTTTTTGTTTCGCACGTTCCCGGGCCCTTTTCAATTTGGCTCTTTCCTGTTGAAGTAAACAATCTTTCTTGAAAAATGTACATTACAAATAACAAACTTTAAATACATGAGAGTAAAAAAATAATACTGATATTGATGGTAAAAAGAAGACTTGACAGTAAAAAAATTGAAGGAAAATTAAGGCATTAATTTTCTATTTGAAAAATTCCTGGAGACGAAAGAATATGTGCATTCACACTACATTTTTGATCAGAATGAAGGCTGCAAAAACATCATTTTATTGCTTGCCGCAGGGATGTATTTATATTACGGTGTTACAAAATTTCTGTTAGAGCAACAAGCACTGTGCTTCAAAAATAATATGCTCTGGGAGATTTGGCAACATTGAAGTGTAAATGTGATCTATGCTATCATATCTTGGTCAGCACAGAACAATCAGCCTCCGACAGGGTGAGAATATACATAAAAGAAAAAATATCTTACCCTATCTTGGAGCAGTCTTGCCAATTCTTTATCTTGCGCTTCAATGGCGAGGAGTCGGTCTCGATCAATGAGAGATGGAGAGTTAGCTTCTTCTTCTTGCTCTTGAAGTAATCGGGCAAGCTCCTGAAAAAAAGTTGGAAAGTTAGAAAATGAAATCAAACAGGTATGGATTAAAATACATATGACAGAACAGATTAAGATGGTACCTCGCCTGCTCTCATTTATGGATATGCTCTCAAAAAAGAGAATTCATAAAATTTACGCTGAGGGATCAAAAATGCCAAGGGATCTGAGGCATTATTTAAGCTTTCCTCCAGGATACAGAAGAGAGCAATATATCAAAAGATTGATCCCATTAGTAAAATCGTAAACTTTCTTAAAAAAGTCCACTTGGAGGTTGATTTTCATGATTTGTTTGACAGATTGTGAACAGATATGAAAAGACCTTATAATGATATTTTAATGATATAAGATACATTTAACAAATATCATTCTATGGAAGTAATAAATTAATAGTAAATAATAATTTAATTTCTACAGACAGTTTGAGAACAAACATTTTTACAAAATAGGGTAAAAATGAAGCCTAGAAGAAAATCCAATTAAAAGAACACACATGAAGAACATGATTGCTTTGAGGAAATTTTACTCGGATGTTTTCTGGCATGAAATGGCTGGGCAATCGTATGTTTTGAGTACACAGACACTCTGTAAGTTTAATTTAGAATAACAGTAATTTAAAGATACTACACATTTCAATGGTGATCTATTAAAGTAAATCTTTCAATTTTTCTTTTAATCATAAAAGCCCTAAATAATTAAAATAAAGTCTACATCTATTAACACATAAAATCTAGAGATACTTTGTACTTTTGGAGCATAGAGAGAATCAACTAGGGAGCGTGTTAAATTTGAAAAGCTCAATCATGGAGAATAATTTCATAATTCAAAAAAGAAAAAAATGTGTACTTGAGGTAGGGCTGTCCCCGAACCGATGAAATCGCTCGTTGGTTCGTACGAAACGATCGAGCGATCATTTCGTAATCGTTCACTTCGAAAAAATCGTTTCGAAAGCCTGTTTCGATCGGAATCTGTTTCGATCGAGCCTGCTCGATCGAAATCTGCTCGATCGAAATCCGTTTTGNTTTTAAAAAATTGCCGAACAGAAAGATGTCCTCTTACACATTGTTTGATTACTCACAAATCTTTGATGATATTAGTCAATATTCTTCTGATCTAACACATCACTTAGCAAAAATAACACTTCGTTTATACAGAAAATATTTCAAAGAGGCAAAAAATATACTTTTTTACTAATGATAGAAACAAAGTAAGTTCCATTGAAACTGAACACCTCAAAATGCTCAGTTTCCTTCAGGGTTGCCACAAAATTTAGAAAATGAAATTCTCTGACATTTCCCTGATTTTCCTGACACATATGAGTAAAATTACCTGACAATTGAGGATATACTGTACAGCCAAAAAGACATAATGTAAAATAATTTCCACGGTAAATTTGTTGTTCTAGATGCATTCTAGAGAGCTAATAGAGGTAAATTAACAATTTTTCCCTAGCATTTCCAGGTTTTCCCTGACTTTTTAAAATTCCTCGACATTTCCCGGTTTTCCTGGTATTCCCTGACTGTGGCAACCCTGTTCCTTAACAATTTTAAAGAAAAGGACAACAGCCAGGAGACCGGTAAACAGTTCATTTTCAGGAAAATCTGATGATGGGCAGAGGTGCAAAGGTTAACACGATGATACGCGCAGTCACATTGTTGACGAGTGTAACTCTAGTCACAATATACAAAAGAATGTGACACCAGAGTAACACCCGCAACAATATGCCACATTCTCCAGGCATTTGTCTGATTCCAGTTCTGAAGTGATGCTTGGGTAACCTCACCAATGAGCTGACCTGAAATATTCTACGGAAAATAAACGTTTCCAAAACATCAAATAACTTGGCTGACTGTAGGAATGTGACAAAAATTTTGCAACCGAGACTTTAACCGTCAACACGAAAAAAGACCTTAGAACCAAAAACTCAAAATTAAGATATAAATTCAATTCCTTAAAGGAGTATCTTACATGCATTTGACATTAAGAGGTTAAAAAATGTGAATCTTGATTAGAGTTACATTGATTTGAAGTTTACGATTCAAAACATAAACTTCAGGAGAAATAGAGATTCAAAATTTTATTCTGCCATGTTTGAGGCTCAAAATGACCTGATTAAATTGCAACTTCAACCCCTCATTTGACATATAGATGAATTAAACCTTTAAAACTTGTTTCTTGGGATGGTAAAAAGCGTTTACCATTCAAAATTCAACACGGTAAAAGGTGCTCTCTTGCAATATTTCTTCCATGCACTTACGACATTTTTTCCAAGCAAAATCGCATTTAGTATGAATACAGATATTCCATTGCACTTTAATAGTCAGCTAGGTTATTTAATGTTTCTTTTCTAGTTTGCTTAAACGTAGAGAATACATTTTTTGAAATAGACAAAAATTCAGCAACTTCTCGAAATCTGAGACCAATGGTCATCTTAATCTTACTTAACTAACTGCAGGAAGATTTCGCAAAAATGTAAAAAAAAAATTATTTTTTTTTTACTCACTTCATCTTTTTGTTCTTGAAGCCTTCTGATTGCTTCCTCCTCCAAATCTCGATCGGATAGAACATTTTCCACATCTTCTTGTGCTAAATCATCTAAATCTGTTACAGTAGAGCTGTAATCATTACTGACAGCTTGGTATTGATAGCTTTCTTCTTCAACAAGTCGATGATTATTTTTAGTCTTGGAGTTCCTACGATAAGAGACAAAGCAATTAAGGCATCATGTCAATAGAGCAAGGGAGGGAGGAATAGAAAATTTCTGACACGGACACGTTGGTGTGAATTGTTGATCTCTCAGACCAAAAAGATAAAAGACAGGATCGTTTCATTTCATTGCATAATAAGTTCCCATTTTGTGAATGTGCTTGTCAGTGTTTCAAATGACTGATTCAGTTTCTTGAGATGCTCCAAAGATGGAGCGTAAAAGTCAAGGTGCATGTTTGGGCTGATAAAGAATAACGGTAAAATAGCATGCAGAGGAAAGTTGCCAAAAGTATTAACATCAAAAATTTAAGTCATCAACTTGGGAAGAATTTTTGTTTGCCTCCGCTCTGATGAAATATTCAACCAGTAAAAATGATCCCTTATTGTTAAATTTTCCACAATGTACACTGATGTCCAAAAAATTATCAAAAACTCAACTTGGAAAAATATAGCATTTTTCATGAAAGCTAAAAATGTAAATGACGACTTCATGATATTGTCTGCTGTTCACTGCCTAAAGAACGTACTAAAAATCAGAGAATGGAAACTTACTGTAAAGTGTGCACCAAATAATTTGTGGAGTTCGACTGATTGTCAACAATCGGGAGACCAACACTATTGACATCAGGATGTACAGAAGGACTACCATGAAGACTTCCATAGCTGAAGGGGTATCGCTCTTTTTCAATTGCTTTAAGTTTTTCTCGTTTCTGAAACAAACAGATCCATAAAATGTATAGAAATACGATCATACATCTTGTGCATACTTAAAAAACTTAACTTCATGCCAACCATCATCCCGTTGCAAGAGAAATAATAATAACTTGTATTTATTTTCACGGGTTTCTTGTCAATATTTTCATTATTGATTTCATTACTACAAAAATTAAACATGGGTTGAATAATAACATCCTTGTATACAAACTGTAGGCATTGGTAACAACGCAAAAATAATTTAAAACTATAGGAGCCCTTATACAAATAACCTGAATTAAATTTACTATGATTTTAAATTGGGGTAAGAACCACTTTTGCAAACTAGAAGAAAAATAAGCGTTCCCATTGGCAGTATGCAATTTTTGGCATGATTTTACACAGTATTACATGTGTACCCATGATTTATTAGAACAGAAATGTGGAGAATTTTCAAAGTAACCAAATTAATTTCATGTTTTCTCGAAAATTGACTTTCATTGCTTTTGCATCCTTTAAATAAGCTGTTCAACTATTCCCCCAGTTTGCAATGATCCTTTTTTCAGTTTTATTTTTGTACGTTTTCGGGATAGTTACAATTGAATTATTTAAAATATTTTGAACTGATTTGTTATCTTTTGAATACAGTTGAGAGTTAAATATGTCACCAAAAAACTTACTTGAACCTGTCTGGCTAATTCTTCATCCTGAAAAGCTAATCGTTGACGTCTTTCATCATCTTCTTTTCGAATCCGCTCTGCCAATACTTTAGCGAGCCTTGCATCTTCCTCCTCCCTGAAAAGTAAAATAAAAACAAAATTTGAGGCAAAGAACAAATAATGCTGATACGAAAGACGTTCCTATACTGCTAAAGTTAGCTTCTTTATACAAAATTCTAATTCTTACCCACTTTTAGCAGTCTTTTTTAAATGATTTGAAGATGTTGAAGCAAATGTACCAATTTATTCCAAGATGGATGAATTTTCTTACCCTTGAGAGGCACAATACCAGTTAAAGCTGACTATTCGAAAACTCAAAACTTAAGTAAATTGAATCACAGCAATCAGCACCACTAGAAGATTAATTAGGTGCCAAAACGTCTGCAATTCCCAACCTACATATATACAGTGAGAAATCAGGAAACAAGTGAAAACGTAAAATATTTTAAAGATTCACTAAAAATTTTGCAGGCAAGCTTGGTTTACTCAAAGCATCTCTTTACTTTGCTTTCAACTTCAAAATTGTAATGTTCTAGGTGTCTCCATTTTAATTATTTTAATGTACATTTAAAATACAGTAAAACAGACTTGCAATAATTTTAAATCCTCCTATCGACAGTCTCTTTTTTTTTATTTTTTAAAATCGCAACTACTTTACTAATTCTTGTGGTACAACAACTTACTGTTGAGAGATGAGCTGCTGGTATTTGAGGCGGGCTTCGATTTCCTCCCTAAGCTGCTCATCTTTTGCTCGTGGAAAATCTTCGCGAACTTGTGCATTTCGCTGTTTGTTTCCAGAGTAATGCTGTTCCACTGAAAGAATACGAGGCACTTTGTTAGTAAATTTTAAAAACAGTTCAAAGGAATAAACTGAATTCAACATTATTTGTTTCAACATGTTTTAAAAAGTTATTTCTCCTTTCTCGAAAATCAATTACATTTTGGCATGTTTCTCCTCATTTTAAATTACCTTAAGTCTCTTTTATTTTCAAAACTTAAAAAGGTGAACACTTTTGGTGAGTTAGATACATGACAATGGCAATAAAAAAAGCGGATTTTAACTTAGTCTTCGATTTTGGGATTCGAATGAATTCTTCTGCTGCAGCTTCAAAATGTCTATTTTTTATTTAATGGTTCTTACTTTCGTTGCTACACTTTTTAGCTAATTGAGAAGAAACCAACAAAACATATTTCTTAGGTGAATCCGTCACTCGACATTAATGAAAATCAAAAGTTCCTTAATTGCTGCTTCACAAAGTACTCAAAAGTAGAAACCAAAATTTAAAATATTTTTGCATTGTCTTGCAAAACTATTTCCAGGTGAGATATGCTCGGAACTTAAAAGCTCTCTTGGCTACAAATTTTTTCTGAAAACTTGTCGTCATCTTCCCGTAAACTTTCCTCGGAAAAAAGTGATTTTAAAGGAAATAAAGGCTCAATATCCCCTCATCAAAATCGGGCTAATAGTCATACTGCACTTAATCTACACTCACCTTCTTCTTTCTGTAGTTTATAGGCAAGAGCACCATCTTCATGAATCAACCACTCTTTGCAAACTAGAACAAAAGAACCGAAAACAAAAGTCAGATTGATGAAGTTCATTTATTCAACAGTATAAAGATGCAGCGAGTTCTCTCTTAAAAAATGTTAACTTAACTCAAACAGTTATTGAAACACAGGCAAAAAGATCGAAAGAGTGCAAGTCTGCTGAAGTCTGCAGAAAAACCTTTCTATTAAAAAAAAATGAAAATAGATGTCAGATGCAGAGCGTCTTAAAATTTCAAGTTGGCGGGTTCATAATCGCCGCAGTGGACAGAATGTAAGGATCTTCGCTGTCATGGCAATTGTCAGAATTTGGGATGCCCCTTTATTTCGAGGTTTATGCAATTGTAAACCTCGAAGAAATTGTCGCGTTTAAGTTAAGAAACTCGTTCCTTGCTATTATAATCATGTACCTATCAAGACGGATGATGTGAATCACTTCCATTTTATGGAAAGACTTCATCAAGACTTTCATACTTTAAGGCAGAATAACACAGGGTGGAGCCTCTCATGCTAATATATCAGTCAACATGAGCAACGCATTCAATGATATTGATAAGAACACTTTGATAAAACTATTTGTCCTCTATGGACCCGTAAGTCTTAATCTCCGAGCGGAACATGGATTGAAGAAATTGTGCTCCACAAAAACGAAACAAAATCGAGGTTGGTTTATCGACGTCAAGATGATATTAACATTTTTCGAAAGTACAAAATGTAAACATAGCAGTGCAACTAACGTAACAACGTACAACGTAACGTAACGCTACGTGCACTGCTTAATGAGTGCTCGGGAGCGCCTTCCATTTTTTCATACGCAACACGCGCGTCCGTATTGTACGAATAGTTGTATCAAGGCGCTAGTATCACAAATGTTGATCAAAACAAACTTTCGAACTCGACTGTAACTTCCACCGGAGGATTGTACCATCATGAGGTTTCGTTCAAGCCCTTCGAGCGAAATACCCGAGCTTCCCACGAGAGACGCACTTTTTTGACGGGCCTTTGCCCCTATCGCAAAAGACCCCTCCGCGTTCCATCCGTTCCTACCTTCACCATTGACGACAAACATGTTCAACAGGGCTAGAATGACGCAGCCACTAGAGGAGTTCCTTCCCGTGAGAATGCGAAAAAGGTAGCCAACTGGCACGCGACTGGAGTGACTTCTCCCGACCCCGAGGCGACCAGCATCCCTGCATCCCTGGGCTTCGACATGCGGGATCGCGCGCGCGGGGATGACTCGGGATCCGGGATTTTGGCGGGTCGACCATCAAGACGCTCGCTAATTGCGATGGGTGCCAGGCACGCGCCACGCGCTCGGCCCGATCATGCGGGTCACATTGAAAATTACGAGGACCTGCGGGTTCCCATTCGGAGGGATAGGACTGCGCAGCGCTGCTCTGCTAAGGTAGAACGCCGTATAAGTTTTCAGACGTTGCCATGTTTCCTTCGATTAAAAAAACCGAATTTACTCAGGAATTCTGAAAAGAAAATTCTCAGATTTTTCATGTCAACCTCACAATCGAATCTGATATATTTCAGAATTCTAAGGGGAAAAATATAAAACTTTCCTCGAAAATAAATACTTTATAGTGGGGGATGTGGCAATTTCTGAAGGATCATACGGCGTTTTTCCTTAACGGGGCGCCCCAGGCCCGCTTTCTACGTCCACTAACCGCGCTACAGTACAAACGCTCAAGCGCCAGAGGGGAGAGGATGAGAATTAGGGGCTTTTCTATTAGTTGATTTATTGAACTTTTGGCTAGTCGAAAATTCAGTAATCAATTGAAAATCGAATGGAATCAGAATGAATCGATTGATGTGCAAATTTTGTTGTTTTTAAAATGACAACCAGTGTCCTTGGGGGATTGCCAGGGGTTCCAAGGAGGTAATTAGCATGTATAAACTTTGGTGGTACTTGAAAAATAGCTTCATTCGCTCCGGAATAAGTTCGAGAGCGAAATTTTGGAGTGAATCATTTTAGAACTGGATAGGAAAGAAACGAATGGAGAAATATCGCATCAGCCTGAATGCATCAATCGTCTGCTGTTGACCCACTGGTATAAAGCCCACAGCACATAAATTTCAGTTGAATGGCGTCATTTCCTGAGGTTTGATTTCATCAGGAAATCCAATTTGCGACACTCAGGCAAAAATCTCCAATCTCCACCATTTGGGAGAGGGGGGGGGGGGGGTTCCTCTTAAAAATTACTACTGGAACTCGTTCCAAAACGAGATAGACAATTTTCCGAGTACTAGAAAAGCTCGATGTCATTCATCCCAAAAGATCAAAAGGTGAAAGTCTTCACGCTCATCACGACGAAAAAAGGTCTAATTTTTGGCACAAGTCGGGCACCTCTATAGCCCCCCTCCCAGCGCCTAACATCATTTATTGAAGCCCCTTTCACCGTTGGTTCCTCCACTTAAGAGCCGTGCTGTATAATGGGCCGGAGACGGTCGTCAAGACATGAAGCGCGTGTACGGTTGTCAGATAGTATGAGAAACCTGGATTTTCTGCTGGGTTAAACGGCGGAAACGCTGGATTTTCAGCACGATTCGGCAGCCGTGAGCGCGTGCGGTGACGGTGCACCGAGTCAAAGAGTGAAAGTGAAGTAATGAGAACAGTGTAAAAGATGAGGAGAAATCTGGCCGCACGCAAGAACCGATGATGCTGGAACGACCTATTTCACCCTTTTCAAGCAGTGAGCAGACAGAATCCGGCCCGCACCGGCCCGTCTTGACGGTCCGTCGCGACGGAAGGTTTGCTTTCTATGGGATCAAACGGGGCCGCGCAGACAGGCTCCGGCTCGGCTAGGCTCGGCTCGGCTCGGCGCGGATCGACGGCCGTCTCGTGACGGCCAGGTTGCTTTTTGAGCAAAATTTGACGGAGACGGACTCGTCAACCCGCCAGTATTGTTGTGTTTTCCTTAAAGACGGCCCGTCACTGGTGACAGGGCTGACTTCTGTGTGCGCGAATTGACCGTCCCGTCACCTACCAGCCGAGCCCGTACGACGGGCCGGTACGGGCCGGACCGGTGCGGGCCGGATTCTGTCTGCTCACTGNAAAAGGTGAAAGTCTTCACGCTCATCGAGATGAAAAAAGGTCTAATTTTTGGCACAAGTCGGGCACCTCTATAGCCCCCCTCCCGGCGCCTAACATCATTTATTGAAGCCCCTTTCACCGTTGGTTCCTCCACTTAAGAGCCGTGCTGTATAATGGGCCGGAGACGGTCGTCAAGACATGAAGCGCGTGTACGGTTGCCAGATAGTATGAGAAACCTGGATTTTCTGCTGGGTTAAACGGCGGAAACGCTGAATTTTCAGCACGATTCGGCAACCGTGAGCGCGTGCGGTGACGGTGCACCGAGTCAAAGAGTGAAAGTGAAGTAATGAGAACAGTGTAAAAGATGAGGAGAAATCTGGCCGCACGCAAGAACCGCTGATGCTGGAACGACCTATTTCACCCTTTCAGCCATCAAAATCCTTCCGTCCTCCGACATGGCAGCAAGCCTGATGGGACGATACGATTTGGCTCTTGCCCGCCGAAGAGGCCGAGAGATTGTTACCCGGGTCTGTGTAGCGCAACTTCACATTAGTTGAAACCCGGGTTCGGAAAGAAAGTTACAAACATGGTACTGACGGAGCGACGACGACAGTCAAATACTAATTGGACTACATTTTGCAATAGGGAACAATTAGCATTGCAATAATGCTAAAGTTGTGCAACCCCTAATTACCTCACAAGAGAAACCTGACGAGAAGTCAAAAAATTAAGCGGATCTTATTTCTGTTGAAGGAGAAAAGTATCCTTTAAGAATCATCGACTGATCTGCTTCTAATTGATTTTATAGTAAACTCTAAATCAGGCACGTAGCCTTGAGGGGGAGGGGGGCTTAGGGGTTCAAGCCGCCCCCCAAGGCAAAAAAGGGGGGAAGAAGGAAGAGAAAGAAAATAAGAATGGTCTAGAAAGGAGGAAGTATGAACCCGTTCTAGGTATTGAAACAGACACATCCAGGATGATCGAAAAATTGTCTTTTTTCATGGCGAAAAAAAATTAAAAATCATTATTGTGAAAGACAATTCATATTCTTTCATTCATGCGGTGAGATGTTTCACATAATGCACCTTTTGTCTTTCGATTACAGCGGCGAGTATCCTCGATAATGAATTTTTAAAATCATCATGAAATCATCTACCTTCATTACAACTTGACAGTCGGCGTAAGTTAGGGAAAGACAGTAGTTTTCAGGGGATCTTTTTCAAAAAATTTTCTGGTGGGGGACCCCCGACCCCCTAGCCAAACCAAGCCCCCCCCCTTCTGGATAAAATCTTGACTACAAGTCAGTTAAAAATTGCACCAGCCTACAAAATTGGTAAGATAATATTTCTTTATTACGAAATATGGTTCAATAGCGACTTTCAAGTCTATTGCACATGATTCTATTCATGCAAATTGCAGTGTTTCAGAGAATAGTTTTCTTTTTAAACTTTTTAGTAAAGATAAAGTGTGGTAAGATTTCTATTTCAAAAATACAGACTACAAAACTTGAAAATCTTCACTGTAGAAAAATCTCATCCATGGAGAAAAAAATCACCACCTGATCACAAAATCATGAATTCTTCATCAACCGCGTGCAGCTATACCTGTGAGACCCTCGCTCACACAAAAAATATTAAATCAATAGAAATAAAGTAGTTAAACGAATGAATTAAGTAGGCACAAAACTGAGCGACGCTTTTACAACAATGAAGAGAAGAAAAATATACTGAAGGAGGAGAGTCTTATCAAGAAAACACAATATGAGGCTGCGAGAAAAATCGTGAGAGCCAAAAAAATTGAATTAGAATTTTGAAAGTCTGACAAAGCGGGGACTTCACAATGTACTAAGATTAAGAACGTCACTGATAAAGGTTTATCTACGGTTTACATGATAAAATGCCGGCGTGAGAGCAAAGGAAAAGTGGGGCATTTAAAAGCGTATGTATGCAAGACTTGGTTATAGCATACACAGCTTCAGACCCGACACTGAAGTTAAAGAGCGATTCGTCTAATATGTTCCTTTTACCCGTTGAAGAGCTTCAAAATTATTTGAAGATAGGGGAATGTAGACACATCCACTGGTTAAGGGACGTTATTGACGAAAAACTCAAAATTAAGACGTTAGTTAAACTGCATATTTAAAGAATATTATGGGGCGAAAATTGTCGAAAAAAAATAAAAATTCAACCCGGAATAATGACTGTTTGAAATCGGCAGTTCAAAATGCGGAATTTTGGTCGTTTGAATTTGCTGCGTTCCGGACTCAACTACATTTTCGGGAACAAAATTCAACTTTACGCCGTGCGTACTGAGCAATGAAATTCTTAAACAAAGCTATAGACAAAGAAGACAAAAGGAGTATGGGGCGATCAAATTGGTTGAAACTGGTGGTTCTCTAGACTGAGGGAGACAACGATGGACTCATTAAAAAGTGTTTTGCCGTTACTTAGTCTATACTGACCTCCTTTGTCCATTGCAACCACCCGCTGCCATCGATAGGATCCCTCCATATACCATTGGTCTTCTTCGTCTATTGCTCTGTCTACCAATTTCAATAATCGGTCCACTCTACGAATAGAAAAGTGAACTGACCCGCTCGCTAAAGTTCAAAAATTCCATTAAAAATTGCGAAGAATGACCAAAGGAAAATTGGGAGGGAAGCGTCTAGCTCCAGCCCTCTACCTTCAGCAAATGTCCACGCTACTTCATTGCTACGATTGAGATGTCTTGAAGGGCTGACGTCGGGTTATTTCCAAAAAATATCTACCGAAGTAGAGTTCCGGCAAAATTAGAAAGTTTGCGGATATCCCAAACCGCGCCTCATTAACCCCTCCTCGCAGCACCCCTTTCGCAATTCCCGCCGGTGAGATGCAAGACGGATTCTGCGTACACCTATTCCTGCCGAATTGGACTACATTTTGCAATAAGGAACTACACATTTTGACTTATTTTAGAAACGACGTACGTGCCGATGGTCTCTCGATGCAGATAGGTGCTACTACGGATGTGTCAGAAATTTTGGTTCACTGGAAAAAAAAAAAAAACATGTTATCCCATGTTTGGGAGAAACCTCGGCGCCCACTGACGAACAGATCGCGAGATACCCGAATAAAAAGAGAGCAATAAACGGGAGGAAATCGGCAACTGTGCAGTAAAAAAAAAGAGAAAAAAAAGGAAGCGTCTTTTTCAAAGAATGAGTGAGCGGAGCTTCCTGAGGATAGAAAAAAGGTAAAAAATAGTGAATGTAAATTAAAAGGAAATAACCACCTAACTAGGCTCGGGGACGAATAGCGAGTGGCTAGTTTGGGGAAAAATTACGTAAAAGGAAGCATCTCTTTGAGAGGACAGGTGTGCTGGGATATCTGCACAAGGGAGACAAAAAAAAGACTGGAAGAATTAAGCAATATTAGGTGTTCCAAAACTTGGTCAACATTAACACGAAAATTCATCAAAAGAGAAAAATACTTCTTTTCTGAGAGCGAAGACGCACGATGAGACGTCTAAATTAGAGGAAGAAAAAAACACAAGAAACGCGGCCCGAACGGTGCGAAACAAGGTGGTAAAATAGTGTTGCGTTCACACTGAGGGAAAAAGCCCAAAAATTTTATGTGACTGGCCATTTTTTACTCTAATTGATTTTTTTTTACTTTTTGGCTTTGTTTTTTAAGAAAAGTAATGTGGGCCTAGCACTATTTTACCACCTTGCTAGAGAGTAAGTAAACAAGAATATCTAATTGCGAGTAAGGGAGGCAAAAGGGGGAAAAATGGGGAGAAAATTAGAAAATACATGAAAGAGCAATGAGCACCGAAATTTATTACAGGAAAAAACCGCTTTTTTGGAGAATCAGTACATGGAAAGAAACGTCTTTCTTGTAGAGTGATGTAAGTAGGAATATTTAAGAGACTCAACAAAAATAAAATAAAATAAAATAAGAAAACCAAAAAAAAAAAAATGGGACGCGTGAAAAATTAGGAAATGAATATAGAGAGGAAATTAAGCCCAAAATTTACTACACGAACAAAAAGAACAGCATTTCTAGAGCTTCAGTACTTACAAAGAAGGAAGCGTATTTTTCGAAGAATGAGCAGGTAGGCCTGTCCGGAGGCGATGGCCTACCTGTACGCTTCTTGCAAGGAATTTTCCAATCACCGACGAGTGGACCTTGAAAACTCCAAAAATTCGGTTCTTTTCGCGTGAAGGCTGTCTACACCCACTACATGGAAAACCGAGGTAATATTGAAAAAAAGTGGGAAATTAGGCAATCTAAACAAATAGAGAATTCAACACCAAAATTCGTCAGAGGAGAAATATAATTATTTTTGGAAAAGGAGTATGTGCGGAGAAGCGCCTGCTGCGGAGAGTAAGTGTGGAGTAAAACAAGGGGAAAAAGACGAGAGAAAACTCAGGAAAAATAAAAAGAAAGGGGGATGAGCACAACAATTTACAATAGGAGAAATAACCGTATTTTTGGAGAAAATAGGAGGAAGCGTCTTTTTCGGGGGTGCGTACGTCGAAATATCCAAGAGATGGGGGAAAAATAAAGAAGAAAAAAATGGGACGCGAGAAAAAATAGGAAATGACAATTGAAACGAAAATAAGCAGCAAAATTTTCTACTAGAAAAAGAGAAACCGCATTTTTGGAGAATTAGAAGGCGGAAGGAGGCGTTTTTCAGGGGAAGTAAGTGCGTAGAAATATCTCAAAGGTGCTACAGAAAAAAAAGAAAAAAAAGACGCGAGAAAAATACTAAATGAAAATTGGGAGAAAATAAGCACTAAAATTAACGACGAGAGAAAAAGAAACCGCATTTTTAGAGAATCAGAATACCTGCAGAGAAGGAAGCGCCTTATAGGAGCACGTAGGCGACAGCCTACGCCGCTCGCAAAGAATTTAACAATCGTCGGCGAGCGAACCTTGAAAACTCTAAAAATTCGGTTATTTTCGCGTGAAGCTATAGACTAAAAGACCGAGGAAAAATGAGAAAAAATACGATGGAAAATACCTGTTGAGGAAGCGGCGATCCGCGGACGGGAGCACTGTGGTCCGAAGCGGCCGGAGCGCGGGAGAACGGGCGAGCGGACGGAAGAGGTGGGTACGTCAGACGCGGAGCCGACACTGGTGCCGATTGAGGCTGCGACGCGACGGGCGAGGGCGAGGGATAGCGGGTGGACGCCCCAGCGTCGCGCCGCGTTGCCGGCTCGGGCCTCGTTATCCGCGATCGCCCGCCTCGATAACCGCGGCCGGAGCCACCGCATAGGTCAGTTCCAAGGCAAAGCCTCCGAGATCCCACGGCGCTCTTGAAAACGACCGGACCGGGCGCGGGAGGAGGAGGCGCGGGTGCTCGCGTCGTGTCTGGTGGATAATGGACCGCTCTCGAGGGGCGGCGAAAAACATGGTTCCCGAGAGGCTTTTCATGATGCACGCTATTGGGAAAACTACTTTTCGGAGGAAAGTTGAGGATGATATGGAAAGCGTTAGGCCTTGTCTCCATGGGATTTGTCCCAAGTTCGAATCGCAGGAATGAAACTTCTGGGATTTTTCCCAGTTACCGTCTCCACGGGACGGGGCTTATACAGTCCTGCGACTAGTTTGCGCGGGAAGATAAATTAGTTATAGTCGAGTATTTAACCGGGATTAAAATAATAATTGCACTCAATTGGCAATCAGACACATTATTTTAACTAAACAAACATGAACAATGCAGTAATGAATAAAATATCGCATGATTCGTTTTCACTTCTTCTTTTTCTCTCAGTGGGTCCTAGGGATACAAGTACCATACTTGGTACTGGGAAAAATGTTGATTAACTCAATATTTTTCCCAACTTCGTAAGTGGGATTTTTCCCTGGGACAAATCTCGTGAAACGGCTCGTGGAGACAAGGCCTTACGCTCTTACATTGAGAGGTTTGAAGAAATACATGTGTGCGATAGTGTGGGAATGGTAAGGGGCTGTCCGTAAATCAAGCACGTCGAAAAAAATAGATTCTCATCACTACTGTAAGAAGCTTATTCTGCGTATACCCTGGTAAAAATTGGCGATAGGAGCTGCGTTTCAAAATACCACAGGAAGTCTTACAGCCGGCTAAAGAAGGCAATAGAAAATCATATAGCTGGCTGTAGAAAGCGGAGCAAATCATATAGCCGGGCTAATACGAAGCGATAAAAAGGTATGCAGCTGGGCTATAGTTCCTATCGCCGGGCTTTACACTTTATCGCCATCGGCTATAAGAAATTGTGTAGAAATTCGTGTGCTTTGGAAATCATTAAGTTTGATACGGAGCCAACCTAATATTCACAAAACACACATTATATTTTCCTTTAATACATAATTTTTTTCATCAATTAAAATGAGAATAATCCATACAGGATGTGCAAACATTTCAAAATCATGAGTTGAAAAACGCTGACTCCGCAAGACTATACTGGAGCATAACACAGAGCGGAGCGGCGTGCTGTCAGCGATAAGCGCGCACCAGCGCCTACAAACCTAACTGGGATACTTAACGCATGGCGCAATGCGTGAAGTATTCCTGTTAGGTTTGTAGGCGCTAAGGTGCTTTTCGCGCTGGATGCCCGCCCGCCGTGCCACGGCGCTTGAAGCAACTATTTCACACCGGAGGTATTGCACAGTATCATACGAAATTGAAGGCGCTCCAACATAATAGGACCAGCAGGCATCCTTCAAAAGTACGGAGCTTTCCGCGCAAAATAAATCAAGATACTACGGCCCAAAAATAGAGCGGTAGTCCAAAAACTCACTAAGTCCTAGCATCCGTAATTAGTAACATGTAGCATACACTTTATCGCCTGGCTGTTGCTCAATCGCCATCGGCTACAAAAGGCTATGAGAAATTGTGCAGCCGGCTATAGAAGCTATTGAAAATCTTACAGCCGGCTTTAGGTCTAGGGTATTTTGGAACACAGATTCTACTGCCAATTTTTACAAGGGTACGCTATTGGGAATATCTACTCTTCCGAGGAAAGTTGAGGATAAAATGGTCTTCATTTTGCGATTAGGAACTACAAATTTGGGCTCAGTTCAGAAACAATGTATGCACCATTGGTTTCTCTATGCACAGCGGTGTTTTTACGGATGAGCCAGAAATTGTGGTTCCGAATTGCAAAATGAAGTCCGAGTGGGTAGCGTTAAGCATACGTTGAGAGCTTTGAAAAAACCTATGTCCAAGATTGTAGGGATGGTAATGATTATTTTTCTATAAATTTCTTGCCCTCGATAATCATTTTTTCACTCATATTTTTCACGACAGTTCTTTTCAAATAGTTTTCCTTTAAATGAATTTTTTTATTAACTTAGTGATGCAAATATTTATTTTGCCAATTTAAAGAGGCTATAAAAACGTAGGCTTAAGATCTACCTTGCAGAGAGAGATGTAACTGTTCGTCCAAGCTTCTGTTGCCTAGAATTAGACGTGTAAGCGGACTCATGAAGCGTTAAAGTCACTTCTGCGCCTGCGTGTATACCAAGTAAGCGTAATATTTACGGTAATACCACTATTCGACCGCGTAGGAACCCATGTTGCCTACATGAAGAGTTGAAGGCGAACTGATACAGCGTTTAAGTCACCTCTTCCTGTCCGATAAAAGGATATTATGTGTGTAGTCTAAATGAACAAGACATTTACGGTGATACCACTATTCGACCACGTGGGAGCTCGGATTGCCTACACTGCAAATTGCAGGCGAACTGGCGATGCGTTACAAACACCTCTCCACGTCTTGTGTTTTCCGGGTATAAACGTGACATCAATGGCGATACCACTATTCGACCACGTAAGGGCCCATGTTGCCTACTCTAAAACTTGAAGGCGAACTGACACGGCGTTAAAGTCGCGTCTCCCCGTTTGGTAAAAAGCTACTCTGTGTGTTTGCGTCAAAAAAAGAGATTTCCAAAGAAAATCAACTTTAACCTTGGCAGGATTGTATGGCGTCTTGTGGACCGGTCCCATGTTCAACCTTACTTTTCACAGGTTTGTAATTTAATCTTTGTTATAACTCTGGTATGATATTGTTCCTCTAAACGCGTTGTGAAAGATATAAAAAACGACGTACGGTTAAAGCCTTTTTCCCTCTACATACTGTGCTGTTTCTTGGCACGGCAGCAATACAGCATACATGTATAATTAGGAATCTATATGTAGCATTCTTCAGTATCCGCGAGGAATGAAAATAAACTGATTCGTTCTCAACTAATTTTATTATACAAAACAGAGTTTTCCCTCAAAATCAGACCGTTTAGTTCAACTGGACGAACATTGCTCAGCTGGAGGATTCCCTTCAGTCGGTGGATTAGGATTCTTTTTTCTTGGACGGTCAAAAATAAAATAATTGGACTATATTTTGTAAAAGGGACCTATGATTTCTGGCTAAGATCACAAAGACGTACATACCATTAATTTCCCCATGTGCATAAGTGTTTTTAGGGATGAGCCACAAATTAAAGTTCTCAATTGCAAAATGTAGTCTAATTTTCCTTTGACGTGGCACTAATAACGCCTACGAAGGAAGAGAGAAAGCAAGATTCAAAATTTTGAGGTAGCCAGGTACTTTTCATCAATAAAAACAGCAACTCCTAAAAATAAAGAAGAAAAAACTTTTTACTCCTGCCGTACGAAGAAATTGAATCCTCTTATAAAACTGCGACGAGGCCTCGTGCTATGGATCTTGTTCTCCATTTGACGTCATCGACTTCCTCACCCCGTCCAAATTGTCGAGTACGAAATGGGCAGAAAGATCGGCGCAAAGCCTGACCTACGTCGCCCGATCATTATTACCATCGGTAACTGGTTCTCCAGCTTTCAACCTCAACTCGCAGCCATAATATTTCACGCTGCAGCCTCAATAATGTAAACTCGAGGGGAATCGTTCCCGCGCTTTTTTTTACGCAATTTGTTCGCGTTTCGTTTACGGACGTCGGTCGTGGCGGGTGCAACCGATCTCCGCACGTCACACAGTGGAAAGAGTCAATGGGAGAACTCAGAAGTTCGTAAACTTTGAAAGCGCATAACTCCCTCATTACAAAACGTCGAGGTCTTAAAAGTGGTCCCATCGGTTTTTTCGAAAAATTTACGATAAGCACAACTTAAGCTTCAAAATTTGACGAAATACACAACTAATTTGCAGTTTAGGTAAAAAAATTCATGTCCGACTTCTCCTATTGGCTCGATCCACTGTACGTTACGGAGCTGCTACAGTCGTGCATTTAGGCGTCACTTAACAGAGGAGCTTTGCCCACGGGGCGCCTTCATTGCAGTGCAGAATCCATTATGGTGCTTTAGTAGATATAAGTTGTTTTCAAAAAGCCCGTAGACCGTTCTTTTCAACTTAATGGCGTCTGATAAACCACTGTTGAAGGGTTTCCTTTACTTTGACTTAAAAGTGAGAATAAAAGTGTCGCCGACATCGGTTGGTCCAGTGGTTAACGCAACTGATCACAGACCTAGATGTCCCGGGTTCGAATCCCGGCCACGGTGGCAAGATTTGATGGTCTCAGATCTTGTCACCGCGGAGTGGCATGGATGTTCTTTCTACGTTTCTTTCTTCGTTTCCTCCTTTGTACTTCCGTTTCTACTGATGTTGTAAACTTTCCTTCATTTAGCGGTGGCTGTTTGTCTACACGACTAAGGCCAATGAACTATACCTAGAGTGCGCAAGCTCTCAAAAAAAAAAAAAAAAAAAAAAAAAAAAAAAAAGTGTCCTGATCTTAACGTATGTTCCTTTCTCCACCCACTGAAGCTAGGCGGCAACCAGAGGCAAGAAATCGATGGCCCAAACCAAAACTAGTCAACGTGATCCATCGAAAATTTCCCTGAATTTTCATCTTCATTGGCAGCGTATTCTGTAAAAATTTCAAACTATAAAGATGGCTTGTCTCTCTAATAAAATAAAATAAAATAAAATAGAAGCGGACATTTTGGCACAACGCGATGTGTTCACACGGTGTTCAGGGGCACAAGAGAGGGCTCGAACCCTAATTAGAAACTGCGCATGATTAGAAATGAAGCACCCAAATGCACTGGCTATAGCTATATAGCTGGCCCACTCGGCTATAGCAGCCTTCCACGGAATTAAAATCATCAGCATTTATAACAATGAGGAATGTACCTATATCTCTCAATGAACTCTCATCACTGCACCTATTACCGCCAAAAATGCATGGAAGGGGAATAGTGGGACTTGATGAATAAACCGGTATACCCTCTCTGATCTGTGGTGCGCGAATACAAAGCTTGAAAATAAATGAAAATAAT